TTATTATAAAGATACACTATGAGGAACAAATCTGAATGCGTTCTGAAGCCGTAATGGTCCATGCCGAAATGTACAGTATCATACATAAAAGTGCATTGTCACGACAGATTAACAGAACATTGCTTCTTCCAGAACTGTAAAATCATCCTTTCTTTTCATCTTGAAGGATGGAAGGAATGTAATGGAAACTGGGCAGCACAAGAGCACAAGGGAACACAATGGCCATACCGCCATCTTGGAGCCGACACTGAAAGAACCCAGTGGGAACGATGAAGTGGGAGGGCCAGGAAGAAGGCAAGACAATACTACTGTACACAGGAACACAAGGAGCAAAGCAGCAGGTGGGAGGAAGGGGAGGGATGGGCAATGGGGCAAGTAGAAAAGAAATGAGGGGCAGTGGGAGGTCGGGGGAGGGGGCAGATGGGAATGCAACAGTACAGAGCAAGGCCAAAGCTCCTCTAAAAAATTTAAAGGCACTTTCACATGTACATACTACAGATGTACAGTGACACAATTAGGTAGGTAACAGTCACAAACAGGGAGCCACCAGGACTGCCACTGATCAAACTGATAGTGAAGGACAATACTGATTTAATTAGGTGTGCAAGAGTTACCTCTACTTAAGTACATCTGTAGTCGTCTCAAGTCTTTCCTGTTACATATCCACTTACTCTAAATAGCTATAATAACCATGAAACTACACATTGAACTTGTGTGAATGCTCTAAAGGGATTGGGGGCATCCACAAAACGCATGGTTCCTAATATTTTCTTTTACTAGACAGTTTCTAAGATAAGCATTATGGAATGCAGTACAATTATTTAAACATACAAAATCCCCTATGTAATTCAAAGATACAGGATCCATCTCAATTATACCATATAGGTTATTTTTTTTTCTTTTTCAAGAAAGAATACTAGGCTAGAACTGCATGTAAATGAAAGCTTAAATTCCAGTTTGTTCCACTGATCTTTACTAAAGTTGTGACTATTGCGAAAGTAATTCTTGGTCCTGGACAGGAAGCCCCAATGGTACCCAGGCACTGGGATTGACCTCAGAATCCTGCCAGAGGTTGGGGTTATCAGCTCCAGGGTACAGGCCAGAGGTGCATGATTAAAATAAGTCATGTAGACTGTGGCCCTGCTTACAGAGTAGTAGCCTTCCCTTCAACACTACCTGATGCCCAGTCCCAAAGCAGACCCTTATATGCAATTCTTTCAAGACTGCTCTTGCTAAATACAGCTTACAGACAAAGGGATACCACCACAAGACTAAATGCCATCTCGAATCCCAAGGCCTGTCCCTAAACCCACTGCATAGACTCTTGGTCACATCTTGGTGATGATACTCGGGATTTTGGGGTCCCTGTTGACCAGTAAATGCTTATTCAAGAAGTAAACCCCAGAGAGGGTAGATCATTCACAAAAACCTGAAGAGACATTTTTATGGCCTCCCATGCTGAAGGAAACTCTAAGTGTGAGACACTTATTTCTCCCTTTCCCCAATTAGCTTGGGCACAGAAAAATTCCACTGAGACACTACTATTAGGGTAGGCAACACTAAACTGAAACCACTTTTACTTGTAGTGATGCAATTCAGTTGACTGATGTTTCCCAGCCAGAGTCTATGGGGCAGTGGTACTGTTTTATAGTAGGACAATGTAGTTATGTGTGAGAACCTATTATAAATTATCCTATGGATGAGGCAGGAGGCATGGAAAATACTTTTCTAAAAAAGTTATAACATCTTGTTAAAATGTGCAAAACTGTTATTCATTGGAGTTTACAGGTCACCTTCCCTTCCTCTCCTCTTCCCCTAATCCTCAATCTAACAAAGGGCTATTAACCATGCTACAACAGTCTGTGGAATACTTTTTAAAAAAGGTACACCAATGTACCTTTCTCCTTGCCACCTGCAATCCCTTCCACTTGCTTCCTTTAGTTCCCCACAAAAAAGCAAGCCTGGTAGAGTGACTAAAGTCAAGGAATTCTATGGAAGCAGAAACGTCAATTCTATGAATTGCAAGTAAGCTATCTTACACGACTGAAACCATCATTGCTTCCAGCAAATAAAATAGTTCACCCTCCCCCCCCACTCCCCAATGATAATATTAGTGAGGTTTATAAACTTGAAACCAGAAATGATCCCAGCCTTCTCAATGACACAGTTCAATTCTCTTGTCTTCCTTTGGGTTGCAAAGTTTAAGAGGCGCCAAGTGGAATTACTCTTCAGTTGAAGTTTTCTATGACCTGACTGCATGACTTTAGAGCCCACAAAGAAACTCTCACCCACAGCTCCCTGGGGTCTTTGCATAGTCACCAAGGTTAGAACATCCTTGTCCCCATGTCAAAAGAACATCAAGGACGAGTCTATTTTGGACACTTTATGTAGCGGCCACCTGATTTCATATCTGGAATTGGAAGATTCTTGAGTAAGGTAAGGTTAGCTCTAGACTCATCCTTCCCTTTCTGTGTTCCTGCTTCTGAACACAGGTCCCTCCCTTGTGCTAGTGCAAGAGTAATGTCTTTGGGAATACAGCAGGAGGCTGGGGAAGAGTGAGGTGTCCAGATTTAAGGAGGAACAATGAGGGAAAGATCAGAAGATATACTGCCTAAGAAACCACTGGCCTCTGAGACCCTGGGAAACCCCATGGTAGTGAGCTCTTGGCTCACCTTGTCAGCAGCACCAGTGTCTCACTTTGTGGAAGAAAACAGAATTCTTTCTTAAATTAAAAGGCAAACAGTATATACGGTAGAATCTTGGGTGGATTACTGGGGAGAAGTTTAAAGAAATGGTGAAGGCTTGCTGAAGCACAGCCTGTAAAGCTAATGGTGGGGAGTGAGATTATGCAATTTACATAAAAAAAATACAAAAACCCCAGAATTAAACATCTTGGCTTTTTAGATGTCTTTATCAGTATCTCCCTATCTTATCCCATCAAGGGAGAACATTTTCAATCATCCTTCCCTTGTTCCTAAAACATTTAAGTTTTCATTTTAACGAAGTACCTCCCAACTTGATGCCCTTGATGAACTAGTAACAGGAAATGGGAACTTGGAGTCAGGGAGACTGGAAACCAAGTTGGAGGGGAAACCTTGGGAGGTTATTTATTATTGTATTAAGGGAAACTATTCTAGAATCAGTCATAGATCTAGAAGGGACTTTAGAATTCTTCTGGTCAAATATCTTTAAATAGGCTAAATGCTATTCACTGCTAGCAGGGTGACATCTCTCGGAGTATCTAAACCACTGGCTAACCTCCATTACAATTTGTGGAGGAGTGAAGGAGATATATGGAGGGTCATAACCTCTCTGAGTATCAGTTACATCATCTGTATAATGACCTGTAAAATGATGGACCAGGTTATTACCAGGTAATTAGGGCTTCATGTCTATGCCTGGAAAAAATACTAGGAGGAAAAAAATCCATCACAAATTCAATTTGTGAGAAGGTACAGGCTAGTAAATAGGCGTGGGTGTCATAATTTAATCTCATCTACTCAATCTCAGTGGCAGAATAATTAGTCTGGCAAATCAAGGAAGAGAGATCAAAGCAATCAATCCTGATTTTAGTAAAGGCTCCGAGTCTTTCTTGAATGATGACAGCTGAAAAATTACACTCTTTATTTTAGAAGCACAAGGTGGGTAGGCACATAACTAGTGGGATGGTTTAAAGAAACATTTATTAAGCACCTACTGCATACAGAGCCCTGTGCTAGGCACTAAAAGTATTTAGAATATGATCCCTCTCTTCATGGAGCTAGGCTAGTAAAGTCTAATGAAAATAATAATTCCAGAGCAATTACTAATGGAGTAGTGCTTATCTAGGGATAGAAAGGCTAACATACAGAGATTTCTTCTGGGCCTTTCACAATAAAAATATTATTTTATCAGTCACTCGTGATGGCACAAAGAACCTAAAACTGTTAAGATGCTGATGACACCAAGTCGAGGCAGGAGGATGGGAAGTGACTAGAATCATAGGAAATCAAAAGGTTAAATGGGCATTGAAGATCAACCCCCTTATTTTAGAGATGAAGAGAGTGAAGTTAGTACCTTGAAAAATATAATCCAGATTCAAAGTGGCCTTTGTGAACTGAAGAAGCAATCAGGGGTGGGGATGGGATGGGATGGGATGGAAAGGAATGAGATGTCCTTTAAGGCCATTTCAGGGCAACAAATCTGGGAGAGTAAAAACAAAATCAAAAAACTGTGCAAAGACATAACCCTGGTTATATCCAAACATGGGGGAGGGGGGGAAACGTCGATGATCCTAGTAGGTAACAAGCTAATCTGTGAGGAAGCACTGTAGTGAAAAAACAAGCTTGCACTGGATGCAGAGATGGGATCAAGAGCTGGAAAGGGACCTTGGAAGAGGTCTGGCAGGATATTCTTGAAATGGGCTAAAGTTTATTCAAAACAGTCATATTTCTTGAAAGTAAAGTCATTGAAGAACCTTAAAAATTTGTGGAAGAGTTAAGGAGATTGTGTAGAGGGTCCCAACCTTTGCAAGTCTCAGTTTCCTCATCTGCAAAATCAGAATGGAACCCAGATGAACACAAAGATATAGCTTAGGCATGAGGCAGCATGGTATTTTTGGAAAGAACACTGGATTTGAAGTCAGAAGACCTGGGTTTGAAACTTTTCCCCCCCCACTGTTGTTTACTATCTATCTTTGTGATATTAGGTAAGTCACTTAATGTCTCTGAGCCTCAGTTTCTTCATTTGTAATATGTTAAATGCGGGGGGTTGGACTCCATGGTTCCACCTCTGTCTCCCATGAGCCTTTGGGCACAGCATCAAAGAACTAGGAGATGACAGCCCTTGTCTACGAACAGATCTGTACTTGAGCGCTAAGGTCAGTCCTGGGATGTGGCAATGAATAAAGTGAATAAACTGGGGAGAATTTTTAAAAAAATTCACAAAAAAATGATTAAAGGCGAGGGCAGCTAGGTAGTGCAGTGGATAGAGTACCGGCCTTAGGGTCAGGAGGACCTGAGTTCAAATCCGACCTCAGATACTTACTAGCTGTGTGATACAGGGGAAGTCACTTAACCCTGATTGCCTCCAAAAAGCAATGATTAAAAGTTTGTAAAACCAGATCTTTGGGGAAACTAAAAAAAACTAGGTTTTTTTTAGCTTGCAGAAGAAAAGTCTAAAGGGTATGATACAGGGTTCACAGAGCTTGTTCTCCATTCCATTAAGGTCAGTGCAAAGATCTGGGTTATATATAATAAAAGAGTTTAATGACAAATACTTAAAAATAGATTAGCAAGAGAGAAGTGCTAGTATGAACATCTGGAGGTCTTTAATAACAGGATTCTCATCTGTATAGTGCAGTCTCTTACCTGAGGGAAGGGGATAAATTAGATGACCTTAGGCACTAAGATTCTGTTCATACTCATGAAAGGAATAATATTGATAGCTTTAGAAACTTGCCTTCTTTCTCCTCCCCCTAGTTAAGCTCAAGTAATAACTGTGTAGGTTTCCCATAGATAATAAGTCCTGGGCTTATAGCATCCTAGATTTAGAGCCAGACAGGACCTTGGCAGTCATCTGTTCCAATCCCATTTTGTAGATGAGGAAACTGAGGCCCAGGGCTTGTTAAGTAACTTGCTCAAGGTCATACAGGTAATAAGCAGCAGAGCTGTGCTTCAGATGAGGCCCTCCAAATGCGGATTTAATGAGATTTCCATTGCAACATGCTTCCAGACTTTGGGTAAGCCACTCTTAAGGAAGTGGGGAAATAATTTAGCCACTAGTCCCACCCAAGCCTGGGCTGATCCAGGGGAAGTACCTGCTTCAGCGACAAGCCTGATTATGGAGTGTATGCTTCTGCGTTTGAGATCAGACACAATCACTGAATAGTCTCTAACCACTATGGTCGTCAGATTTCAGCCACCATCCCAGCTTTGGCAGGCTGGCATGGGCTAAAATCCCCACAAAGTCTGGTACTTAATATTCTATCTTCTTAGCGTGGGAACTCTCTTCTTAACATCAGCTATGCTAAATCTGAGACGTACTGTACCATAGGGAAAGCTGTGCTCCGATCTTTTTTTTTTACAAGTGGTGCAGCATTGAATTTTCAAGTAAATCTAGTGTGTTTCTATTGTCTTTAAAACATGTAGAAATGTCCAGCTTTTTTAAAAAGGAAAAAAATACAAAATACAAATGCCTGTGTTAACATACGTAGCAAGTCTCAGACGTTACATTCAAAAAGACAGAAAAGCCAGTATCTCCAGTTATAAGCACAAAACTCATGAAGACAAGAAGCCTTGAATCCCTCCCCCCCCAATCCATTCCTTTTTTCAACCACTTTTTTTTTTCTACCTTCTGGGTCATCTGTGTGGTTTTTTTTTTTTACATGGTACACGATTTGTCTGTTGGACCCTGCGCAGGAGGTGTGGGTCCTATGGTTGGATTTGTTTTTGGAAGAACAATGGGTTTTGGCCTAAGAGCTGGGGGCTTCAGCTGCACTCCCATCCTGGGTGCCACCATGGGCTTGAAAGTACTCATTGTGTCACTGGAAGAGCTCGTGCTACGTCGGATTTGAGGCTCGGTGCTCCTGAGCATCACGTTATGGAGTGGGCTGAGGGATTCAGTGGATGAGGCAGGTGTGGGGGAGTTTTTCATTTGTTCCAAGGTATCCAGCACCACGTCGGGGGCATGCTTTGCTGTACTCTGCCTTTCCAGCTCTCGGAGTTCATTCAAAGCTGTGTTCATTGTCTCCTCAATATCCTGAAGCCAATGAGAAAGAAGAGAAGATGGAGCCCTTGAGAATAGATGGAGAAAGAACCCAATTTTCAAAACCCTAGGTGCTACTTGCGAAGTTATTCATACAGTCTTATTATGTTCACATGTAAATGTATTCCACTTTAAATCTCAAGCATGGTGCTTGGTGACAGGCTTTCCTTAACATAGTACTTCAGATGAACCCACAGCTTTAAGAGAGGCAGTATGGCACAGGAGATCTTTGTCATACTCTATTCCTTGTCTAACCAGTGTAGCAAGGCATTTAACCTCGAAGTATCCCAGGCAGCTCTCCATGACTCTTGCTAAGTTGCAACAATGGAGGAATTTTCCACACCAGAAACTCCCCATATTGATTAATAGTACCAGAACCCCCACCCCCCCAGCAAGTGATTTTGGATAATGAAAAAAGGTGAAGAATGGAACACACCTTCAATCTAGCAGAATCTTGACTAATATTCACAAGCCTAAAGTCTGATGGCCCCTTGCCAACATACACATCTGAACTCTGACATCATTTGTCTAAAGTCAGCTTTCTTCAGGTTGAAGCCTTCCATGTTTATTTAATTTATGGTGAAGCTAGAGTATAAACCCAGTGACCACATCTCCAGAGAGAAAGTACTGTACTTGGGAATTAGGCACAGCTGAATATGATCAAGACAGTTGCTAAATCGTGGCTACATTCAATCGTTATTCTATGTAGCCAATACAGCTTTTAGAAGAGAGCCTCCTTTTTGAGGAGATTGGGTTGAGTACCTTTCAGTAAAATCCCCTGTATTTTCTTTTGCATCTACACTATGATGCTATGCCCACTAATCTTTGCTGCAAAGTAAGTATAAGTCTTGGTGTAAAGGGACTGCTGCGTGCAAGGTCAAGCTGGAAATCATTATATGGACCCCTGGATGATGACATCACTTTCCAGGAGATGGCTTTCATATGCTATTCCTCTTTTCCTTGAAAGATGTAGATTTGTTATTTTTGCAAAATGCATCTACTTAAGAGAAGATGAACAAAGGAAAAACTGAATGCAGACACAAAAGGGTTATACAAAGTTTCCTACTCTCAAACTCTCACCTCTTCATTCCCTTCCTCCTTGCAGCCTCAAATCATGTTTCTTGTGCTTATGAGAAACGGCAATTTCATGGGTTTATCAAAAACACTAAATAGTGATTTTTGATCAGCTATATTCAACCATTATTGGTTTTAAGCTTAGGATATAACTCGAAGGGCTCTGTAAATACATAACAAAAAACCAAAAGCTTTTTTGATTCTGTTTTCAAAAGGCTGGGCCATTTAATTTAAACTTTTCAGTACTGTTCTGTAATTTAATTCACTTTCCAAGATTCTCTGGGTCTTGCATAGAAACTAAAGCAACAACAAGAAAATAGCTTAGGAGTCAAGCACATTGCTGCGAGATTCCTTGACAGCTTTCTAAAATCGAAAATAATCTAACTTTATTGCTTCCCTGGTTTTCATTCCTTTCATTTCCCTTTCACATCCTATCATTTCTCCTTACTTAGTTCTCATGTGTGTGATGAATACAGATCCTTTGGATGGCTGTAATAAGTCCATAGACTATACTTAGCATCACCTAGCTCATCTTTCTTTGGACTGCTTACAAATATTTTTCTTAATGGTTTATGTCAGCGGTACTTATCTATCGGCAACAGACCCGCCCCCCCAGGCAATTACAGAGCCATTGCAGGGGGTCTGTGAAACCAACATCTTGATCTGTCTTTATTTAGAGCTTTATCTTGACTTACAAAGCAATATGGAAAGTATATATATACGTGTGTGTGTGTACATATGTATGTGTATAGATACATACACACATATACATATATGTATGTGTATACTTCACTTTTTCTTTTTTAGACAGTATTTTTTCCAATTACATGTAAAGACAATTTTTAATTTTTTTTTTAACAAAATTTTGAATTCCAAATTTTCTCACTTCTTCTCTTTCTTCCCCCCTCCCTAAGATGATAAGCAACTTGATATGGGTTATACATGTGCAATCACATAAAACCTATTTCCATTAGGCATGTTGTGAAAGAAGAAAGTTTGTAGAAAAGAATTAGCAGGATTATTTTTCAAGCTATGTAGGTACTATTGTGATGAACAGTATTCAGATAAATTTAAATCTGTTCCTGAATTGATGTGGTTTCCTGTCATTATGTATTTTCCCAATCAATGGAGACTAATAATATAAATTATCATATAGGAGCAAGCAATTTTTTTTAAGTTAAAAAAGGGTATTCATGTTTACCTGTCTGTGTCATGGGTAAAGGCCAAAAACAAAAGACAAAAGAAGGCCAAAGATACTAACCAGGTGCTCAGAATAGCAAGGGAGAAAACCTGGCATATTTATTAATTAGGGTTGTGTTTATACTTGGTTGATTCTAGGGTTTTTTCTTTTTCTTTTTAAAAAAACATTATTGTCCCCCAATTACATGTTAAAACAAATTTTTAACATTTAAAAAAAAGTTTTGAGTTTCAAATTCTATCCCTCCTGTCCTTCCCCATCCCTGAGATAGTTAGTAATCAGATACAGGTTATAACAGTTCTATCCTTGTTATAGTCACTTATGTCCGTAAGCAAGTGAAAATGTGTTTGAATTTCCCATTTTGTACCTTTTTATGACAGGCAGCCTGGATCTTCCTCACCACCTCTATCCTGTGCCATTTTTATCTGTTTCCTCCTTGGACTGGGGAGAGAGGGTGTAACTCAAAGTAACAAGTAACTATTCTTCAGACTAGAACCACAGTCGGGATCCTACTTAATGATTCATTGTTTCCCTGGCTTTTTACTACGACTTAGAGAAGATACATGGAATCCCTTTCTTTACATTCAAAGACGATCCCCTACCTTTTTATTAAACTTTCTACCCCTATTAGAATAATTCTACAAATAGAAAACAGAACAGAACAAATGTAAACCGCAGTGTCCTACCTGAGCAATCGTCTCTGGGTCCAGAGGCTTGTGGTCATTGAAGCCTGTATACTGGCCCGATGATGTTGATCTCCGAATGGGCGGACTGTCGATCTTCTTTAGAGAATCATGCCTACTAATGTTTGTCAAGCTGCCGTGGCCGGGCCTGCGCCTCCTCTCGGGGCTATCATTGAGGCTGCGGTTCTGCAGCAGGGCTCGAGGGCTGCAGTGACTGGACAGGCTAGGGGACCCAAGGTCAACCGAGGAGTTGGAAAGTGAATGTGGTGGGTGGATAGGGCAGTGGCCATCACTGGTCCTGCCAGGACGCCTTGAAGGAAGGGGTGGTTCAGCCCTTTTTCTTTGTCTAAGAAAAAGAAAATAGAGAGAACAAAGGAAAACTAAGCATGCTGGGTAACATGAGTTCAAAGACCTTCTGACTCCTTGGAGTGGTACAGAAGGAATGCTAGACATAGTCAAGGAGACTCAGGACCTAGCTTTGCCCTTTTCTAAATTGTATGACTTTGGGCAAGTCACCCTCTCTGGGCCTCAGTTTCCTTACTGGTACAATGAACGAGGATTAGATGACCTGCAATGTCCCTTCTGGCTCTAAATACTGCAATTCTATGCAGCTGAGACATAGAGGCTTGATTACCAGGCCAAGCCTACCTCGCTAAATATCCATCAGGATGACGGTCAGTTGGGGAGTTCATGTCCTTGGATGAAGACTTATCTTCTGTAACAGGCCCACTGCTGGCTTCACTGTCTGCTTTTTGGCTCAGTGTATCAGAAAAGGTATCATCCCTGCAAATAAAAAAGAGCAAAACATGAAGCTTATTACCTCACAGGTGTGATGAGGCCTTAGGATGAGAGGAAAGGTATGAGGCTTTAATCTGTAATTGAATACTTTAAGTTTTCAACCCATAGTGATGTAACATGCTGAATGAAGGCTATTTCTATATGCATGAATGAAAAAGCTTTTATTAAACGCTTTCTGTGTGCCAAGCATTCTGCTAAGTTCTGGGAATAAAAATGGAAAAGATAGTCTCTGCTCTTATGGACTTCAGATCCTAATCAGGAAGATACTACATATAGAAGCTTTCAGCTGCCAGTTAGAGAGAGGATCCATGGTCCCTAGGGTGCAGCAGCAATGCAGATGGTCATTCATCTTTTTAAATGTCATTTCCACTGATAAAATCATGTGTTTCTTATATTGAACCCCAGATGGTGTCAAGGAATTCAGTAGCATGACCTTTCTTTTCTGGATCTTTAGTTAGTAGCTGTGGCTCCTGAGGAATCACGGGATGCAGTACCTGTGGAAGCAGTCGCTGGGTTCTAGCTTTACAGGGATTGCTAACTGGGATTATGGCTTCAGGGATGGAAGGAGGACTGGTCGTCTGGAGAATGCTACCATGCCTAGAATTCTTGGCCTTATCTGCCCATTGGTGGCAGTTCGTCAGGACTTTGTAGTGGTGGTCGTTGTGGTGGCGGCAAGGAAGCCAGACCCCTCCTCTACAGACAGAGATTTCTTCCTTGAATGATGGCTGGGCCAAAGGTCTAGGGTTGTTGGGGGGGGGGGTGCAGGGAACAGGTCTGCTATTCCCAAAGTTCTTAGGGTTCTGGGCTATCTTCATTAAGGTCTGAGGGGAGTTGGTGGTTTTCTAAGTTGTATCTTTGTCATGCTACAAAGAAGAAGGCAGTAGCATGGGCATTGGAAAGGGTATTGAAATCAGAAAATACATGGGTTTCAATATTGCCTCTGATATGTATACCAGCTCTGTGACTATGGGTAAGTCACTTGAGTCTCAGTTTCCTCATCTGTAAAATGTACCTACTTTCTAGGGGTTATTGGGAGGATCAAACGAAATAATATATATAGAGTAAACCTTTAAGTACTAGATGCTGAGTGTTTTTCATCAGCTCTATGGACATATCTTGCATGAACAGAAGTGTTTTGTTTTCCGCATTGGAACGAAAGCTGCTTGAAGTTAGGGGCTGTCTTTTTCTTTTATATTGTATCCTTGCTGCTTAGCATAATGCCTGGCATATAATGTTAAGCAAGTCACTGCTGACTTGATTTGAATAAACGTCAGACTTTGCTATTATTGGCACATAGCAGGCACTTGATAAATGCTTGTTGACTGATTATTAGGAAATAGGCCTGTGAGTATTTTTAATACTGTAGGCCTTTGTCATGCCTCTGAGACGTAGGCCTTGAAGCAATAGACAGACACAAGATAATACTAGCTTCTTCCACTGAACTCTATACAGTAGTACCAATACTCCTCTTTTTGGAATGATTGAGGCCACCTCATCTCTTGAGAGATCCTCATAATGTAGGGTTTATTCTTGGGAATATGAAACCTCTGAGAGAGATCCTCCCCTCAATAATTTCCCAGTAATCCTTGATCTACTTCCAGACTTAACAGTGGAGACATGAAGAGGGATGAAGATGGGGCCAGGGAGCACAAGGTGTTGCCAGGGAAAAGCAGAGGGTAGTCCTGCTATTACCAACTGAGGGTCAAAGGGAAGGAAGTGCTAATGAACTGCAGCGGGTCTCTTTGGAACTGTTTCATGAGATCCTTGAGGGATCTCAAGTGAGTGGGTAGATCTCAATTCTACTATGAGAAGGAAAGTCCTAGTTCTCCTGAATATGTTTAGACATGGAGCCTTTAGGGGTTACTAGTGAAACTGGGCAATACTTACATATCCTGTACCACAATGTACTGGTGAGGTACTAGGCCATCAATTCCATTGTGCCGTCCTTCCCACCAGTCCTCGGATGCTCGGTGATACAAAAGCAGTGAAGCTCCCTTCTTGAAGGACAGTTCTCGAGCAGACCTCCCAACATAGTCAAATTTGGCTATTGCTTCAATGGGTTCACATTCTGTAAGGAAACCATATTTAAAAAAAAAAAGAATAAGGGACAATGAGCTGAGGAAGCTATTGGAAAATTTCTGAAAGGTATCTCCACGTGCCCATAGATGCCTTTAATTGTGGGTACCTTTTCAGAAAGTTGGCTTTGGAAGCCCAGGTCATCCAAAAGAAACATCTGGAACACAGTATCATCTTTATATGAACAAAAAGCTTATTGATCAAGAGTCAGGAAAAAGAAAATCTGTTCACCTACTTATGATTTTTTGGTGTATAATGCAAGCTTTCTGCTGAAAGCAAAATTTAATGGCCTGTCTCCGGACACTTAATAATTATGTGACCTTGTGCAAAGCACTTAACCTCTCTCTGCTTCAGTTTTCTCATTTGTAAAACGAGGGGATTGGATTAAATACTCTCAAAGGTCCCCTCCAGCTCTAAATCTCTGATCTAAAAATCACATATGAAGACATGTGCGCGCACACACAAACACACACAATGTTCTTCTGGTGAAGCCTCATGGCTGTGAATCATGGAATGCAATAATCTCTGAAGAATCTTCTACCTAATGACACTAGCCTCCTGGCCGTTCTACAGACAAGATGCTTTATCTTTAAGCTCTGGCCATTCTCTCTGGCTGTTCCTCATGCTTGGAATGTTCTCCCTCCTTGATTCATTCCAACATTCCTGGCTTCCTTTAAGTTCCAAATAAAATCCCACCTTCTTCAGGAAGCCTTCCCCAACTCCTCTTAATTCCAATGAATTCCTCCTGTTCCTGTCTATTTATCCCTGTATATAGATTGCTTTGTATACAGTTGTTTACATGTTGTCTTCCCCACCAGACTGTAAGCTCCTTGAGGGTAAGGACTGCCTTTTGCCTCTTTTTGTATCCCCTGGACTTACCACAGCGGCTGGCACATAGCAGGCACTTAAAAATCTTTGTTGATTGATTTCAGGGGACCCAAAAACCAATGGAGAGACACATAGTACAGGGAAATCAACTGCAGCATATTACCATCAAGGACTGGTGCATAAAAAGTGTTATAAAGGGTTTTTTTTTTGGGGGGGTGGAGTTCATTAGCGTAGAGAACTTCTTGGTGAGGAAAACTCTATCTACTAATCCAGACCAGCAACCTATCTGTAACTTAAAGCCTTAGAGAGTTGACTGGGTATACTGAGAAATTAAGTTATTTGCTCATGGTCCCACTGCTAGTAAAGGACAGAGGCGGGCCTTTCTGACTCCAGCATAAGAGATATCTAGGGAAAGTACAAACAGAAGAGAAGGTGGCCTGGCCAAGTGAGGGACAGCAGGGTGACAGATTGTACCCAACAAATTTTTTTCGGAGGCAATTGGGTTAAGTGACTTGCCTAGGGTCACACAGCTAGTAAGTGACTGAGGCATGATTTGAACTCGGGTTCTCCTGACTCCAAGACCTACACTCTACCCACTGTGCCATCTAGCTGCCCCATGTACCCAATGAATGTTAAAGAAGGTCTCTAGTATGATGGGTAGATGCTTTAGGGAGGACTCATGGAAGGCTATAGATGAGAATCAATGATAATACATGGAAAGATCATGATGAGAACAAGGGAAGGGAAGGCAAATCTATTAAGTGCCTACTATGTGCCAGGTGCTAGAGATACACAGCCAAAAGTGAAATGCCCCTGTCCTTAAGGAGCTGATGTTTTATGGAGGGGGAGGGGAAGAATACCAAGTGTACAAAAAATAAATACCAAATAATTTTGGTGGATGTAGACACCAATAAGTACAAAAAATAAATACCGAATAATTTTGGTGGATGTAGACACCAATAACTAAAGGGATCAGGAATAGTCTTGACCTCTGTGGTCCTGAGCTTTGAAGGAAGCTAAACATTCTACCTAAGATGGGGAGGCGGGGAGGAAATGTTTAAAGGTAAGTAAAAAGTAATAAGCCTGCAAAGATAAGCTGGAATCAGGTCTTAACTGTCAAAGAGGGGAGTATTTGGTCCTAGAGGCAATAGGGGGCCATGGGAGCTTACTCAGCAGGTCAGACCCATGTTTTAAGAATATCAATGCAACATCTCTGTGGAGAATGACTTAGAATGGGGAAAATATTGAGGCAGGGGGAGCAACTAGGAGGCAATGATCCAGGAAAGAGGTGATGAGGATTTGAGCTATGGTGAATGTTGTGTGGGTAGAGAGAAAGGGCTAGACTTGAGAGAAATGACAAGACTTCATAACTGAATACATATATGGGGTGACAAAGAGTTAGATGAGGCAGAAAGAGGGCAGATGAGCCACGTTTTGGATATGCTGAGTTCAGTTCAGAATATCTAAAACACAGCAGGCAATGAGGAAGTGGAGCTCACAAGAGACTAGCACAAGCGTGGGGAACCTGTGGCCTCCTAGGTCCTTGGGTGGGGCCTTTTGACTGAGTCCAAGATTTACAGAACAAATCCTTTTATTAAGAGGATTCTTTGAAATGTGGATTCAAAGGGATGCACTTGAGGACGTAGAGGGCCACGTGTGGCCTTGAAGTCACACGTTCCCCACCCATAGCTAGGGACTAGATGTGCAGCTCTGGGGGTCACATGCAGAGAGATTCTAATTGAATCTGTGGCAGCTGATCAGATCACCCAGGGGGCTCAGTACAGACCCCTCAGAGTACACCCACAGTTAGGGGAATGCATATGAATGATGATGCAGCCAAGGAGATTGAGAAGGGGCAGTCAGGAAGGAGAAGGAATATTAAGATAGCAGTGTCAAGGGAGAGCACTTACGCGGGAGAGCACCAAGAAAAAGCAGGCCATTTCTTAACAGTGTCAAATGCTAGAAAGAAGCCAAGGAGGATGAGGATTGAAAAAAAGCAAGTGAATTTGGCAACTGGGATCACTGGTGATTTTGGAGAGAGGGGCTTTGGCTGAGTTCATCAATGAAATCCTAGATCCATTCAGGCATTAAAGAGAATTTGTTCAAGCAACTTTAGGGAGCGGTGGTACAGTCTGCCTCTTCACATGCTGAGGTTTCAATGTCCACCATATAGCATTGCAGCAAATATTAAACAGCAGCAATAATTCTTACTCATGGAGTAATACCCACATTCAAAATGTGAATTCTAAATCATCTATTTAGAATTTTCTTTTTTTGCCTTTAAATTTTATGACCATAGGCCTCCAGGCCATATGTGGCCTTCAAGGTCCTTGGGTGCAGCCTTTTGATGAGTCCAAGTTTTACTGAACAAATTCTTTTACTAAGGGGATTTGTTCTGTGAAGTTTGGATTCAGTCAAAGGGCCGCACTTGAGGACCTAGAGGGTCACATGTGGCCTTGAGGCCACAGGTTTCCCACCTCTGCTCCAGACTATTGTTGTTTTTGCTTCTAGTCTTCCATTCAAGTACATCCTTCATACTTAGGGAACTATTAGGATCATATTCCAACCCTAATTAAAACAAAACAATGGTGGCTCTTCACTGCCTATTGGGTAAAATATAAATCAATCCTGGCTTTCCACTATGGCTTAAACCTTTTTTAAAAATGCACTTTTCTTAAGCTCTACTTTCATCTACTCTATCTTCCAATTCTACCCAACTTCTTTCCATCCTTTATTCTTGTCCTGTCTTCTTCTATCTCTAGGCCTTTGTTTATGCTGTCTCTCATGTCTAGAATGGCCTTCCTTCATCTCCACTTCTATCCCAACTCAGGTGCTATCTCTTCCTTAAAGCTCTCCTTGTCCTCACCCACATTTCCATCTTCTCCACATCTCCAGACTTTTCAGAGCACTTGGCTGGTATCTTTTCCCTTGCACTTACCGCTCTCCTTTGCATTGCAGTCATTTATCCATAATAACCACAATACAGTAATCATTGACTTTCCTTCCATTTGATTGCAAATTCTTTGAAAACTGGTCTTGTGTCACTTATCTTCACATTCCTTTTTTTATATACCTCTATATTTTTTATTTCCAACCCTTCCTCTAATTTCTTACAGAATGATAGATGTTTGTTAATTGAATATACTAAGAGGAGAAAGCTTTTATAACTACCACCCATGCTTAAAGAGGGAAAAGAATGAGGCCCACAAAGAAGACTCAGTAATGACATTACAAGGTTAGCAACCCAGAAGTACTGGGATCTAATTCTAGAGAAGACTTCTTTCTTAGTCTTCCCATATGTGGTAATTTCATGAAAGTAGGTGGTTATTTATTAGATTGTAAACTCCATAAATGCAAGAACTTCATCTAAATTTTATTTCTTTCCCAACACCGTGATGTTGCACACTGGCGGGTACTTGATAAAATGTTTGTTCAATGAATTGAGACTAATCTTTTCAAAGTACTTTGAAAATCTAAAGTACAATACAGTGATCTAATATTATTGGGTGTCTCTACAAGATGCTGGCACAATTTTTTTTTTTTGGTTTAATTTGGATGGTATGTTAGGCATTATTCATTCTTCCCAAGTCACGGGTCCTAAGGTGCTGATTAACCCACAGTGCCCAAATAGTTTGTAAGTGTGTATGTGTATTCCTTGGCACAGTAGATAGAGTACTGGACCTGGGGTCAGGAAGACAAATCCTTGCGAGTTCCACTCTGCCCTCAGACACTAGCTATGTGATGCGGGGCAAGTCACTTAACCTGTTTGCCTCAGTTTCCTCATCTGTAAAATGAACTGCAGAAGGAAATGACAAATCACTCCAGTATCTTTGCGAAGAAAACCCCAAATGGGGGTCATGAAGAGTCAGTATGACTGAAATCACACAGCACAAATGCGTATTCCTTAGTCTTGGGGATTAGGGTTAAGTACATTAAGGGTCACTTTTGGTGAATTCTGTATAAATTGGTAGCTTTTTGGACCAAATAAACTTTTCATTATGGTTTGGGTGCTGTTGTAATTGGCCTGAGCTATGTTTCTGTGGGTGGAGGTCTGGAGAGCTGCATCTATCACTGTGCATCCTTGGTTAGTGTTTGTATTTAATCACCCTTTTACTATTTTTTTTCCTTGCCTCACTGATTTAATCTTTCCAGATCGTGACCCTG